AAAAAATCCTTTTTTTTTTTTTTTTTTTTTTTTTTTTTTTTTTTTGATAACTGGGTGTCCGGCCGGATTACGCGCATCTCGCCTAATCCCAGAACAAATTAACACTTTAAAATCCCAACCTTTAAGTAGCCACCTCTCTCTCTACCAAAATTCTCAATTTTTTCCCCTGAATCAGACAATTGAGATAATTCCTTCAAAACCCAATTAACGCTACACATCCGCACAACGCAAGCTACCCATTATTAGTTTCGAGCTGCTTCGAATCATAGCTCAACCCTAGGGTTCGTAGACGACAAAAAATATTTTAACTTTCAGATAACAAGCATGTAACTTCAATTTGTTGGTCAAAATTTGAAATTTAAGACGAAACGAAGCATCAGACGTTGTAGAGAAGATTACCATTCGAACGTAGGGATTGTCGCCCAGGCACGACTCGCATATGATTGGGAAGTCCGAGCGTTCCCAACCATCAGCTTCGACGTTTCTCAGCAACCTGTGCGCCATAGTTTGCTCCGATCAGAGTCGATTAGCTCTTTGATCGTCCTCGCTTAGTCCAGATTTTGTCGGACTTTGGTTCACACGATCGATGAATCGCCAGAGTACCAATTTGAAACCCTAGCAGCGAACAAGAAACGACAGCGAGGAGAGACGCAGGGGTGATTGGGGTTGGGTGTGCTGCTAATGGGTCGGGTATAACATGGATATTCGACAACCTGACTAACACCGGTATGGATAGTCCATAATCCGATCAGTTCTGGGTGAGGTCCGTACCCGGGTTTCTTGGCACCCTTATAACACATTCTTTACCAAAACAAAGAGGAGTTTGGTTTAGCTTTATAATTATGATTTGAGGCCATGTTTGATTCACAATACTAATAGTGAGGTATTAATAATCCTATCAAATTAGTGTGGTATTAACTATCCCACCTCTACCCCATTACTAATAATCCTACAAATTTGTTGGATTAATTATCTATTAGATTAATAGTCCTAAACCAAAATGTCAAAACAAACATAGGATGATTGGGCTCACGGATTAATAATCCTAATCCCATGCTTTAATCATTCTAATCAAACATGCTCTGAGTGTATAGTTATATTTTAAATTTTGAGTTTTTGAATTATGGTTTTAAAAAAAAAATTATTTGGTTATGAGTTTTGAAAATAATTTTTTTATGATTTGTGCTTTTTAAAAAAATTGATTGATATATAAAAATAGAATGTGAGAGGAGAAAGTATGTATAGATAGGACAGAAAAAATGATTTATTAATTAATAATAATAATAATAACAATAAAGAGAAAAGATGAATTTTGAAAGTAATTTTTAAGTTATATTTTAAAAATATGTTTGATTAATATGTTACATCTAAATCATGATTTAAAAACATAATTGAATTTTAAAAAGTAAACTAAACGCTATCTTTAATGTTGACAATAATCGAGTTTAATGTCACAAAAATCAAATTTTAAAATCAATTATATATTTTTTTAAAATAAGATATAATTTATGTCACATGTTATTAATTTTGACGAAAAATATTTGTTTGGTTTGGCTTTGTTGAGTGATTTTGGAAAAAAATTTCAAAAAATTTCTAACCCAACAAAATTTTGGAATTGTTTTTCAAAATTTGTGTTTTGAGAGTTAAACCAAACAAGGTCTGCATGTTTGATTTTAATGGTCGTCTTCAAAACCATTCACGACTTCTCCATTGTTTTCAAATTCAAAATAAATGTTCATATTTGAGGACTTGTGTCAACTGTTGTGATGTCAAACAATAGCTGGTTCACTATAAATTATCTTTTTCCTCATTTTTTGTTTTGTTTTGTTGTTTGCGTCATTTACAACAATATAGAAGGGGAGATGAAGATGAGGAAGGTGGTGAACTCTACATTTCTTCAAGCTAATTATGATGATATGGTTGCTAGGATCGTTGAATTCATTTAAACTAGTGATTGAGGTCATTATTTTAAAATCCTAAAGTAGTTTTGGTAAACTACTGAAACTAGTTGGTTGAATTTGACACCACAAAATTGTTGTTTCAACCCATAGCTTGTTAGCTTAACTATAAATTTTTATCAATGTGCAGTGGCAAGCTTTTAGCTACACTTGACCTCAAATGGTGAGATGGCTCTTTGTATGTGATACAACATCTTGACACTATCTCATTGCTGTTGCTTCCTAATAAATCCAATGCATAGTATGGTTTCTGGCAGACAGATAAACATGATGTTTATAAGGTTAAAGTAGTTAAATTGTGAATGTATGTAAAGATTGACAAGTTTTAAGTAAAATAGTTGCTGTGTTTTCAACTGTGGTGAGAAGGAACATTCACGTTGGCTTTTGGCTGAAAACCTTGTATGGCCCTGGATGGAAAGGTATGACGAATAAAGTTGTGAGAGGAGGCTACATAATCAAGAAGAAGAAATATAAAGCCCCGACCAAATGGGATGTGATTGTGTGGTAGCCCAACACTGGTCTGTGTTTGCATACTATGGTCAAGAAGAATAAGAACATTAACCAACTAGGCCTAGCCTAGTTGGCTACCATGCCTTTCTTAGGGCTTAGTCCCAAGGAGGTCATGGGTTCAATTCCCTTTAAGGGATTGAATGAAAGGAGTGCAAGCACTCAGGTGTTTTGCCATGGATGGGGAGATTTTCTCCCATAGGTATTAATCTAACAACTAACATTTGCCGATGAAAAAAAAAAGAAAAGAATAAGAACATTCCCAAGGAGTGGGACTCTTCCTGTACAAATGAGGTGGGTTACTAAAGGGGATGAGGCCAGAATGTGCCTAATCAAGTTTTGTGTTTTTTGAAAGTCACTAAAAAAAACTATATATAAAGAGGTTGTTCCTATGCGAGGTAGGGGTAGGCTAACCACTCCCATTGCCTAGGAACCTTCTTGTTATCCATCTCTTCTCTGCAGGTAACCCAATTGTTTAATCATCGAAGTGTCTTCTAGCTGCTCAACCACTGATCAGGCAACACTAACGGTGTGTGAGGTTTTGCAAGAACAATAAGGTTCGCAAAGTCTCTCTTGCAATCTCTACAGTGTGATTTCGCCACACGAAAGTGTTTGTTTAGTTGTGTCAAAGATTAAGGTGAAGTTTTGACAAGTCAGGGTTTACAGTTTTTATTCGTGTTTCTGTGATCATTTTAACCTTGTGCAATATACAAAACTTGTACCCAACATTTACCATCTAAATATTGACAAAGCTTTTATAGTATGCTAATCTTTTATGATTAAGCTTTCATGTTTTCACCGTATGAATTCAGTTTTAAAATTGGCTATTTTTTTGTTTGCACTTCATCTTTGATCTTTAAGCAGGTTTGCTGGCTGCTTGTATAATAATAACCTTCAAAACAAGAGAGAATAAAATGGGGGAAAATAGTCTTGCAGGGAATCAGGGGTAGATATTGCTTTTAACATTTAAAAATGGTAATGTGATAGGTTAAGTGATTATTCACTGGTTTCAACTAACTACATATAGTGAAAAACTCATTTATGAGTGAGACGAAGCTTATTCAACATTTTTAGATAACGGAAAGATAAAATGATGACTCGCCTAAATGTAATTTGTGATTTTTGCTTATGATTCATTCTTGGGTATTTTTATATTTTTACTAATACACATTTTCTGTAGGAACAAAAAAAAAAAAATAAAGAAAAAAATGTTTGATTTGAGTTTTTTGGATTAAGTTTTTTGAAAACTGAGTTTTTATTTTTCATGTTTTTTTTTTTGTTTTTAGTGAATATTTTAAAAATTTTAAATAATTTTGTTTTACTTTTTTAGATGCATTTTACTTAGATGTATCTAAAAAGTAAAAAAATTGTGAAAAAATATTTTAAAAAATTAATAAATACATAAAAATAAGAAAAATATACTAAATTCTCGTTTTTTTTTTTTTTTTTTGTATTTTGTAGTATTTAGTGAATTTTCAAAAAAAAAAATTCACAAAAATCATACTTTTTATGTGTGTTTATGTTTGGTGTGTCTAAAAATTAAAAAACTTGCTTCAAATATCAAAAAAATTCAATAAAAACAAAAAAAAAAACATGAAAAATAAAAAAATACAATTTCAGAAAAGTGTTTTTGGAAAACAAAAAACAAGCAAAATGATGCCATGGATAAGAATGCCAAATGAACTAAACAACTTGAGTTTAACTCATATCTGACTTATTAAAAACTCATTCAAATTTAATTTATTAAATAAATAAACAAATCTTGAATATATTTTAAAACTTCATTAAAATTTTAAAGCCAAATTTAAGTAGTCAATTGCTCTTACAACTTGGTTTAAGTAGCCAAAAGTAATATAAAAATACCAAACTTCTCGAGGTCAACTCAATCAAAGATTATTTGAGATTGGTTCGAAAATTTAAGTGGTCATGTTTAAACAAATTTTAAAACTCTTTAAATTTTTTAACTTGAACAATTAAATGCTCAACTCGTTTGACTTATTTATCATCCTAAACCATAGATTCGTTTGAGAATTAATTATTTTAATGACTTTCTAATTTTATAGAAAAAATACAAAAATATAAATAATTATATGATAACTTATAATAATTTTTTAGGATTCGTTTGGGATGTGAATTGCTTTTTTTATTTTTTGACTGTGGGGCTAAAAACCTTGTTTGGGATTAACTTTTTTGTTTTTTTGAATTTTGTGAAAAAAAAATAAAATTATTATGGTTTTAATGTAACATTTTATCGTATTGGGCTAAAAAATTTATATTGTCCTTTTGTGACTATTTTAGCCCAATCCACCCCAACCCATTATTTTAACTAAAATTTGCAAAATGAAGCCTAAATTACACAGATGTAAGACCATCTCCAATGGTTCACCAAATGATTAATTGATGAACAAAATAATTTTTGGTTGCTCCAACCCAGCATCAAATCTTTTATCAAATTCAGAATTTCTCAAATTTTCATCAAATTGAGGGTGGATGTGTCTTTCACCAAATCACTGTTCATAATTGTTAGATTTTTATCCTTGGATGTCCCTTCGGATGACCATCTCAAGGTAAAAATTTATGAAAAAATTACACTATTCAGTCGACCAATTGGACAACCACTCGGTCATCCACCCGATCAACTAGTGTTCTGATGAAGTTTTAAAAATCTATATTAAACCACTTAATGTAAAATAGAATTTTACTCAAATTTAATTATATAAAAAAAATGAGATGCCCTACGAAATGAAAGTTTCAAAAAAGCTTAATCACATAGAGATAACCTTTGAAACTAGACATTATCATTGGGTGGTATGGAGAAGTGGTTCGGAAATACTCTTTGGATCCAGTAGGACGCTCGTGATCCTTAGCTAGTCACCTGAAAAAGAATGAACACTCCGGTCGGGGGTGCCGAAATTAGCACTCCGACGGATAAATCAGTGTATATTCTCCCGATTGCTTATATCTCAAGTTAAACTTATACGCTCTCACATACCTCTTTTGGTTGATGCTCCTCTTATTTATAGTCGTCCTCGATGTTGATGGTTGGGCCCACCTTTCGTCTAATGAACAATCGCTCATTCGGCTATCTCTTCATATTCGGTCCAATCTACAGCTGATATAGAAGCCGATCTGGATATTCGGCCTCTATTCCTCAGGGCTATAAGCCGTATAGTACATGATCTAGTTTCCTTCTTTAATATATTCGGCTATCCTACGTAATAATATACTCGGCCCCCACAATTGCCCCCCAAACATCCTACTAATGTCAGTTAGACAACATGTTTGGCTTTGGACTTAGAGGGTCAAAAAATACGGTGGTTTCCCTTATT